ACCCATCTGCCTCTTGCCAAACTCCTCCGTCACAGTCTGATCAGTCCTCAGGTAACTGGCAGTCTGGGAATCAGTGTGTTCCCAGAGCCTTGTGCTGGACAGCTCACCCAGCTAGAGGCACAATCATTTTGGGCAGAGTGTATGTATACAGGGAACCTCAGGAGTTTTGAATCACCCACAGAGACCCTGTGCCTGAAGCCCAAAAAAAGGGGGAGCTTCAGGGGATCACAGATTTCAGAATATTTGCAGTAGCCCCCTCCCTCAGCTTGGAGAGTACCTGAAGTGGCCTCGGACATACCTTTCTTTAGCTGCCCTCCCCGCTAATCCGGCTGAGGCCAAGTCAGCTGCTCCAACTTCCCCCTCTCAGTTCCACATCTCCTCCCAGCCAGTCTGCTGGCTGCAGATCAAAAGCTGGAAAGAGAACCCCTCCCCTGCTTCCTGCCTCTCTTTTTGACGAACTCTTGAATTGCTCTTGTTTTCTTGGAAATGAGACTGACCAAGAGACACCCTGCCCCTTCAACTCCGCGATCCCTGAAATCGTCCGCTAGCCAGCATCCCTATCTCCTCTCCTCGCTCTTGATGGTACCTTGAGGCTGGTACCTTTCGGGACAGCTGGAATGAAGGCTGAGGAGCAGGCCAGCCAAGGAGAGAGCCTGTGGGGGTTGAGGGCTCACTCTCACACATTCCTGGCACTCACCGGGTGTTGCCAGGGCCCTAAGCCTGTGCCCGGGCCCCACTGCGGAGGATCACGAGTTGGCTAGTTGTGGCGTCTCTGTGGTTTCCTGCTGACTCCACTCCATTCCAGACAGCCGGTGGCTGATGCTGGCAGAGACGGGTTAAAGGGCCTTTGGGGAGGGACAGGGAGGAGCCAGGAAGGGAGAAGCGTTGCTTGCAGGAGGGGACTGTATCCCCAGATATGTTTTCTGCCTAGTGAGTGACCATTCTGGTCCTGCTTTGGGCCAAGAAGGTGCACAGGCAGCAGAACAGTGGAGCCCTTCCCCTTCCTAATCGGTTAAGCCCCAGGGTGATGATGGGAATGTGCCTACTCTGCTGGCTGGTTGGGACAGGCCAAACTGGGTTTCTGGGGGTCAATCCTCCCTGCTTGGGAGGCAGGTCTGGCTCTGGGGTATATGTCTGGGTTGAGGGTGCTGGCTCTGAACACCTCCGTGGGCTTCCGAGCTCCAAGTGCTGAGTGCTGCCCTTGTCCTGTGTCCTCCAGGTGAAGAGTGAGGGACCCAAGCTGGTGCCCTTCTTCAAGGCCACCTGCGTGTATTTTGTGCTCTGGCTGCCCTCGTCCAGTCCATCGTGGGTCAGCGCCCTCATCAAGTGCCTGCCCATCTTCTGCCTCTGGCTCTTCCTTCTGGCCCATGGCCTAGGATTCCTGCTGACCCATCCCAGTGCCACCCGCATCTTTGCAGGGCTCGTCTTCTCTGCTCTAGGTGATGCCTTCCTCATCTGGCAGGACCAGGGTTACTTTATGCACGGTCAGTTGCCCCAGGAGCTGCCTGGGAGGAATCCTGGGGCTGGGTGCTAGCGGGTCTTAGGTGGCCAAGGACTGGGGAGAGGGAGCTTTGGAACAAGAATATGGTGAATCTGAGGGGTTCTGAGGCCAAAGACTGTGGGGCCCTTGTTGGAGGATTCCCTTGCACTGATCTGGTGATCAGTTCTAGAGTTTCTCAGGGGAAGGGAGAGTGTATCTTTACCTCTGTGCATTTCCTCCCACCCCTGAGACTTTCCAAAGCTGCTGGGTTATCCCCACACCCCCCTCCTAACCACCTCCCGCCCCGTTACTCATTACTCCCCTGAGCCTGCCCTCAGCATCCCCTCATCCCCTCTCACTCCCAGGTCTGCTGATGTTTGCTGTGACCCACGTGCTCTACGCCTCGGCCTTTGGCATGCGGCCATTGGCTCTTCGGACAGGCCTGGTGATGGCAGTGCTGTCAGGCCTGTGCTATGCTCTCCTCTACCCATGCCTCTCAGGTGCCTTCACTTATCTGGTGGGGATCTATGTGGCCCTCATTGGCTTCATGGGCTGGCGGGCTGTGGCAGGACTCCGGCTGGTCGGGGCAGCCTGGCGCTGGACCGAGCTGGCAGCAGGCAGTGGTGCGCTGCTCTTTATCATCTCAGACCTGACCATCGCCCTCAGCAAGTTCTGCTTCCCGGTGCCCTACGCACGGGCACTCATCATGTCTACCTACTATGCTGCCCAGATGTTCATCGCCCTGTCTGCCGTTGAGAGCCGGGAGCCAGTGGAAGACTACAGACAGAGCAAGGCCAACTGAAAGGCCAGGGTCTGGTTACCCCTCTCTCCTTCCGGGGCAGGGGTCCAGAACCTGCAAGAACTGGGTCAGGATGGTTGTAGGCCTAAGCTGGAGGAGCAGATACCACCTGGAAAATGTACAAGTTTGAGGGGGTAAGCAGGAAAAGGATCTCTCTAGCAAAGCTCGTGGTCTGGAACAATTCTGAGAGCCAAAAAGAGCCAGCCTAATTCTTCTTGAGCCGGGGCCAGAATTAGACCTCTCCCCACCTCTAATCCCACCGGGATTGTCGAAGCCCCTCTGGAGGGTGATGGTGCTCCATGTCTTGACCTCCCCCCACTTCTACTAGATAGAAGAGTCTGACTTACACATTCCCGCTCTTTCTCATCTGTACAGAGTTGAGGGAAGAGAGAAGTTTGAGCTGAGATGACCCAAGCCCAGGGCTTGAAGCCCCTTTTGCAGGCCCCTAGTTGGGAAGATTGGATGAGGATGGAGTCTCCCTTTCCTTCATCTATCCTTGTTACTTGAACAATCTCCGTTTCTAAGTGTTGGGTGGGAAGGTGTAGGGGTGTCTTGTTGAGGTAGGTGAGACTGGGGACTTCATTGGCCTGGGAGCTTGGGTGACCAAGGATTTAAGTTGGTTCCATCTCTCTCAGGGGCTAGCCCAGAGTGCAGGCCCACCACCACCACCCTTAGACCCTGTCCCCAGGGCTAGAGTGAACCATGCCAAAGGAAGGGGCCAGCCTGTATGTATGTACGTGAGTCTATGTGTATGTGGTCTGTCTCCCAGCCTGTCTGTCTTACTGTGCCATCTGTCTCTGTCCTGCTGTCTAAGTCTTATAGGGAGAGGGCCTCAGGGAGTTGCTGAGAGGGTGCTGAGCCTGGCTTAGAGAGCTGGGACCCTACCCTGCCTCCATCAGTGCTTTTCTGCCTGCCCCTTCTGCACTGGGAGCCAGAGGAGGGGGCTCCAATGACATTCTAGGGTCATAAGACCTAAGGCACATTCAATGCAAAAGGAGCAAGGATGGGACAACTCCATCCTTTGCTGCTCATGTGAAAAAAAATAAAAAGCAAGGGCCATTGGCTGTCCTCTTGTCCGCCTGTGTGGCATGTGCCTGTCCTGGAGGGGAGGGGTTGGGGGCATGGTGCCAGGGGCCCTGGATGTCCTTACATCTTGGGTCACAGTCCTGGCCAGTGCATCTTGGCACCCGGCGGCGGTCTCCTGGCTCTGGTGACACGGTGCTGGTTGGAGTGGGTCTCACTTCCCCAGTCACGTGTCTGGGTGAGGCTGGTGTTCAGGAGGATGGGGGATGGGTAGTATTTACTACCATCCAAGTTTCTCCTTGATACATTCCCCTGCACACCGGTGCCTGGCACCTTTGGTAAGTCTTTGTTACCCAGTGTCCTCTCCGGCTGCCCACCTCCTCCCAGACCTGCTTCGTGCTCCAGAATGATCCATATTCCCTTCAAGGGTCTCCTCTCTCCTTGGACTGTGGGCTCAGTTAAACAGCAGGGAGGAGGGAGATTAGATTGGTTGATTTGTACTTTAGATGGGAAGCCCAGGCCAAACAATGGAGTGGAGTCGCTCCACTCCAGGGGCATTTGCATCTTAATGGGCAGTACCCTGACCCAGAAGCAGAAAGGGAAGCCTTGGGTAGTGGTGAATATGTCCTTAGTGGAGAGGTTGTGGAGTTGTGGGGACTGGAGAGAGGAGGTTCAGTCCCATGTGGGTGGTGGGTGAATCAGTGATTTCCAAACTAGAATTTTTACAGAGACACCTGGTGGGGGAAAGTGAAAGAATAAGTAGAGGAGGGAGGCTCCCAGAGGTCCCCCTATCCTTGTTTGAAGTCCAGTATTTATGATTTTTTTCTTTTAGAGGAAGAATTCTGCTATAAAACCTAAATTTGAAACCTACTGAGCTGGATGACCAATTCCTTCTAGCTCCGAGATCCACTAAGTGTCAAATAGTGGGAACCCTGGATAGTAAAGAGGCAAGGCCCTGACCCCCCTCAAACCCCAGAACTCTGATGACAGACCTACCTCTTGAAAAAATGGGAGGGAGGGACCTGGAGCAGGATGAAGTCTATCAGGCCTTGCTTTCCCTTGCCCTGAGGGGAGGGGAGGGAAGGGTGCAGTGGGGCTGCAGAAGAGCAGGAGGCAGGCGGAGGCCCAGTCAGGAAGGAGCTGGTCACTGCCATTGTGAGTGGGTTTGGACTAAGCTCTTGGAGCCATGTGTCCCCATCAATGCCCAGGTCCATGTCCTTGGTCCCTGCTGCACGTCACCCTCAGGAACAGGCAGGGCCGAGCTTAGTCAATTTATTGTCCCATGCCTTTGCTGACTTTTAACATCGACAAACACCAGAAAGCCAACAGGGCTGCCCTCCCTGGAGCCACACACAGGATGGGCCCCCAAACCACACATCCCAACATCCTCCTGATGCCTGGGCTAGACTGGAGCTCACATAAGGTACTTTGACTTCTTCTGCATACTTTCAGTGACAGATGCTAGGATGGACTTGTCATCTTTGTCTGAAAGAGCAAAACAAGGATTTTTCAGTGTTCATGTTACAGGGAAGAAGGCAAACTCCAACCCACTGGCCTTGCAGTTCCCCAGTCTCCCAAGGTCAGCTGAGCATGTGGGGCCAAGAGCTACCAGTTACTCAGCCCTTAATATTTGCCAAGCGTTGCACCAGGCACTTCTGCACACTATCTCACGTAAGCCTCCAAACAGTCTTAAGGAACAGATGAGAAAACGGGCTCAGCGTGGTTTGCCAAGGTCACATGGCCGGACAACGGTGGAGCCCGGGCTCTGGGCCCACGTGCTTACAACCAGAATTAAGTTGTCAGGGATTTCTCTAGCTGTGGAATGAAAGCTGGATGTCTCCCACGGTGCCTTCCCTGGCCTAGTTCTGTCACACAGCTGAGCCACCCTCTGGAGGCTTTATCTCAGTGGCTAACATCTAGCTGAGTCCTTGAGGGACAGAGCACCAGGGCGTGGTACTTTCCCCAAAGAAAGGCACCTACAACAGGACACCAATGGACTGTCACAGAGAGTTCAGGGAGTGGCAGAGGATGAGCTGGAGAAGTAGATGTGAGAGGCAGGGGACAGGGTGGAGGGCCTTGCGGGTTGAGGTTTACTCAAGAGGGTCATGGAAAAGTTAGGGAGTGAAAGCAAGAAGGGAGCAGCGCAGGACAGCTTTGCTTTTGGAGAATTCCTGCTACTCGCTGTATAGTTGTGAAGACAGTGGAGTGTGTGGGAAGAACATAAGGTAGTTCCCCTACATGTGCACACATGAGCAGAGGTGTGGCACACCTGTGCAGAGGAAGGGTCTCCACTAGGCCCCCTTCAGCCCTTCCCCCATTTGTACTTCCCATCTCTCCTTACCCTAGACCAGTAGTTTTCGGTCTTGGTTGTGTATATGAATGACTCATCAAAATTTGTGAACATAAAAATTCCTTCCAGAAACCTGTCACAGAGACTGGTTTAGGCCTAATCACCAGTATTTTTTTTCAAAGGCAAGTCTAGGCCCACCAAGGGTGGCAAACTACGGTTTGTTGAGGGATTGCAAACTCCCAAGTCTGCAAGGGCCAGGCACATAACAAATGACATGAAGAGGATGGGAGAGAGGAACCATGTATGGCCAGTGGGTGAATGTTTATACCATCCGATGGCAGAGGAAATAAAAAACGGCACCAGGAGAGGGCCATCTTGCGCCTCTGCAGCTGGTGGGCTGCAGGGAGACGCCTCCCTGCCCCCCGCCCCCTGCCGGCCAGAACTGCCCGGTGCCCTCACCGTAGACCGTGAGAGTGCAGCTGCTGCGGTCCTTGCCCAGCTCGTTCTCCACCAGCACACTGTACTCGCCGCTGTCCTTGAGCGTGCAGGTGGGGATGACGATGGTGCAGACCCCGCTGGTGGAGTTGTACCAGAACTTGGAGTTGGCCGTGATGTTGACGTCGCCCTTGTAGAGGGTCACCGTGGGGCGCGGGTTCCCAAGGAAGGCGCAGGTCATGGTGCAGTCCTGGCCGCGCAACACCGTGTGTGGCTTGAGCGGGATCAGGAAGCGCGGCGCGTGTCGCCAGTCCTTCTGCTCATATGGCTTCAGCTTGGCACTCAGGTCCTCGACTGTGCAGGCAGGACGCGGTGCACAGTGAGCGTGCTTGGGAGTCAAGCTGCCGCCCGTCCCTTAGAGCTCCCAAGGCGCCCCGGAGACCCAGCTCCCCAAGCCCTGGTGGCCTGGGCTACATTCCCATGCGCTGTCAACTCTGGGGCCCCGACCTGACACTGGTGTTCCTGAGGTTCCCCTTCTGCCACCCTCCCACCCCTTGTCACTCCAGGGTTCCACGATCAAAGCCAGGTGCCTGCATTTGGGTTTTTACGCCTTTCCAGACCGGGGAGTCCTAACTTCCTGCCAGCTGCCAGCTTCCAAACTGAGCTGCTATCCGACTGTTAACTGCCCATCCAGGCTTTCCCCAGCGTCCTCTCAGCCTCCACGGTCTCTCCTCACCTCCATTTAGCTCCTCAATTCAAGCTTCCCCGACCCTATCCCCACCCTTAACCCCTTTCCTTCCTGGACGTCATCCTTGGAGACCCTCCCCAGTCCTCACTTGTGGACCCCTTGGCTCTGAAGGTCCCTCTCAGCTCCACACCAACTGCCCTCCCCTATCACCCCCGCCCCCAAGGGCACCTCCCCACCCTCGCGGTAGTCCCACCCCTCAGAGTATCCAGAAAGTATCCTCTTCAGGCTTCAGGATGGCACTTCCCCTCCCAGCATCCCTGACATTAGCCTTTCCCCCTCAGCGGTTCTTAGATTTCACCTCAAATCTTGGGTACCCCCGGGAATGCCCATGCCATCCCTGCCATCGGGGATATAACCCCAACCCCTGAGTCCCCCAACACTCACTCTTGTCCTTGTTGACGAGCCAGGTGTCCTTGGAGTCGAGCGGGTCACTGTCACCGATCTCGTTCCGGGCCAGCACTCGGAAGTAGTACTTCCTGCCGGGGAGTAACCCTGTCACCGTGTACTTGTTGCTGAAGACGTGGTCGGCTGCTGTGAACCAGGTGGCAGTACTAGCATCCCGCTTCAGGATGACATAGTGGGCCTCACTGTCCTCCTGCACGTCAGGGCTATGGTTCCAGGTCAGAGTCACTGTGTTGGGGACCTCCTCAAACAGCTGTAGATTTGTGGGTGGCCGCGGAAAATCTGGAACAGCCACAGGGTCCGTCAGCCACCCTCGGGGGCCTGAAGAGTTATGCCCCACCCCAGCCTCCTGCCAAGCCCTGTGGAAGATGGAATGGGGGATGTCTCTTCTTGGAGTGTTTTGGAGTCAGAACTATTTCTGAGGTGTAGCAGCCCTCATGTAGCCTCTACCAGGTACCAGCCCTGTAAACTCTGGGACCCATTTCTTCATTTGCAAAATAGGGCTAACAGTAACTCCCTCAGAAACGTTGAGTAAAGTGCCTGGCACATAGTAACTATTCAATAAAAGTTTATCCCTTCATTCCTTAGGAGTTTAAGGCTTGATTATAAAGCTTCTAGCCCTCACTATGAGGTCAGTCCAAATTTTAATGGACTCATCTCCATCTGCCCCTCCTTCCTCCCACTCATTTTCTGCTCTCTCTCTCTGCCAACCATACTCTGCATATGTCCCCAAATCTCATCAGCTATGAGTGCAGAAACCGAAACAAGGATTTGGTCCTGGTTCAATACCTCTAGGGCTCCAGGACATTGAGACAAGGTGGAAACTAACCTCCTCATTAAGGCAAAGGTCAGTCCTGATGTGTGTGGCACGAGAGAAACCTTTACTACCTCAGCCTGACTTTATTTTGGCAGGAACTCAGGCAGCAGTGGGGAGCTCTGTTTCGGAGTGTGTGCAAGGGTGCCTCCCCGAGGCCTCTGCCCACAGTCGCACCTGCCACACGGACGTGGACATCATAGTATGCCTCTCCAAACTCATTCTGGAGCAAGATGCGGTACACGCCTGAGTCCGAGCGCTTGGTGCTGTTGATAAGGAACTGGGAGTGGTTTTTGCCCTTGGTGATGGTTTCCCGGCCCTTGGTGGGGATGCCGTCTTTCTGCCAGATCACGTTGGGTGGTGGTGAGCCCTGCGTGGTGACAGGAGATGGCACTGGGGTGACCCAGGTGATACCTGGGGGCGGGCCCTCTCCCACTACACTGGCCAGGGGTTTCCTGCCAGGCTCTAGTGCCAGGGGTCTGCAAAGGGCAGACACAGAGATTATGATAGCTATGGCAGCCATCTTGGCTAAGTGGTGGGTAACGGGGGGCCAGGGTCTGGAATGACTCACAGAGAAGGCAGCATGGATGCAGAGGGCTGTCCCAGCACGAACCACCATGTGACTCTTCAGCCGGGCACTGAGGTCAAACTTGGGGGCAGCTGAGTGAGATGGAGGAAACAGAGGTGGGGCCGTGGGCTTAGCTTTAAATCCTCTCCAGAGCCTTTCCCAGCCTCTCCTCCATGCTCCCATGACAGGTCAGAGAGAGAGCCTGCAGCCCCAACACTGTGAAGCTTTTAGTTGTTCCTCCATTGTCTTCCCCCAATAGTATGCAAGATTCTAGGGCAGGTCCTGTTATTTGTTTCTGTATTTCTAACACCTCCCTTGGCGCACAGTAGATACTACTTGGAATAACAGTTGAGTAGGGTTTTTTTGGGGGGGTGGGACAGGTCACCCCTAGCCCCGTCCAGGCACAAGTACGGATGACTTCTTAATCATAGCATCTCCCAGTTTTCCCCTGTGGGCTGAAGTCCCAGAGAGGAAAGTATGGGGCTAGGATGTTGGGGCCTAAGCCCTTGCTCCCTCTGCATCCTCACCTGGGGGTGGCATGGCACGGACCCCCTCATCCAGCTCCACGGGCTCCCCAACCCCAGCCTCGTTCACAGCCCGGATTCGGAAGAAATATTTCTGCCTCTCAGTGAGGCCGCCCACTGTGTAGCAGGTGCCTGAGATGGGGATCTTTGTGCACTTGGACCACTCCTTCGTGTCCTCCGCCCGCATCTCGAGGATGTAACCGGAGGGTGGGTCTCCCTCTGCAGGCTCCCGCCAGGCCAGGGAGATGCTGGAGTTGGAGGAATCAGACACGTGCAGACCCTGCACAAGGCCTGGGGGTTCTGCGGCGGGGGGCACAGACGTCCAGTCAGTCTTCCGACTCCTCTGCACTCAATCCCATACCCAGTTCCCACACTCAGTACCCCTGAAACCGAACTTCCACCACCTCTGCCTCCAGCTCCCAGGTAACACTTTCCACACCAGCCCTGCACACTCAACAACCTCCAAATTCAATTCTCTCACTGGATCCACCCTTTCACCCTTGAAGTCAGTACCCTCCAAATTCAACATACCCTACACCCTCAATCATCCCCCTATGGTCTAAATTCCATCAGCCTTTAGCCCAACCATCTCTACCACATCCATTTGTATGCAGTACCCCCATCCCACCTCCTAAACTCACCTCCCTCCCAACCATCTACCCTAGAGCCCTACCCCATCCTCAAACATGCGTCCACCACCTTACCTAACCAGAAATACTCAAGAGTTTTATAATTTTTTTCCCTCACCCTGCCTCCTCGCTGACCCTGACTCTCAATCTTGATTTGCTGGCTTTCTTTTGGGTGTGAATGCTGTCCCTCTCTTAGGCTGGAAGCTCTCAGAAAGTGGAGATTGTGCGAAGGGGTCATCCTGTTAGACTTTCCCAGAGGAGAAATCCACTGTCTACCTTGAATGGGCTAATTCTGCTATGTGATGGGGCTTCGCAGCACCCTACTCACTGACAGGGTCCTTGGCTACCACTGAGTTGGATGCCATACTGGGCTGTCCGGGGCCTGCCTTATTCACAGCTATAACTCGGAATTCATATTCTGTGTCCTCCAGGAGACCATCCACAGTGCACTTGGTGTCTGAAATGGGAATTTGAGGGATCATGAGGCCGGGGGTCCAGATATGGGAGACCACAGAGTGAGAGGACATGGAAGAGGGAGTTATGGGATGCTATTAAAACTCCCAAAGGAGTTGGGGAATGGAATATGTGCAGGGCAGGCAGGGGTACATAGGTCCACCCAGCAAAGCCTCCCTTGATCCTCCTGGGCCTCTCTCCTTAGGACCTCACCTTGGATGGGGTCCTTGTTGACTGGCACCCATAGGTTACTGCCTTTCTTCCTCCGTTCCACAATGTAGCCGAGCACTGGGGCTCCCCCATCCTGGGCAGGGGCATTCCATGTGATGGTCATGGTGTCTTTGGTCACATCAGTCACTTGAGGCTGGGAGGCAAGACCCGGGGGCTCTGGGGGGAGACAGAGGTCAGAGGTTAGGATGGGGAGCGTGTAGATGGTTGCCTACCCTATGCCGATCTCTGGTTCCTGCTTTAAAAAAAACCCCGATGATTCTTAACTGTGGTTGCGCATTAAGATCAAGTGGGGAGTTAAAAAAAAATACCATCACCAAAAAACAATGTCTGGGTCTTACCTCCAGATAGTTTAATTTAATTGGCCTTGGGTGGAGGCCACTCACGGGCATGTTTTTCAAAACCTCAGATGATTCTACTGTGTGGCCAAGACTGAGAATCACCAACTCAAATCTTCCAACCTGTGTCATTCTCAGTGCCACAGTTCTTAATGTTCTTGACACAGGGAGACATGGAGACTTGGAGACCAACTGGGAGGAGTGTAGCAAGCAGTTAATTAACATTATAATTAAAATGCTAATGTTGTCAAAGGTTTTCTTTGGGAAAAAGTTACAATAGAATCAAGGTTATCTCTAAAGTAACATCAGTTCCACTTGGATTTGGGATGATTTCTGGAATAGAGAAGTGCAGTCATTTCCCTGGAATCGAATGCAGTTCTGGATATATACATGGGAGTGTGTTGTACATGTGAGTGGGAAAAGTCGAGAATTTCTGCCCAGAATGTTCTGCTCTTACTTTGGATTCCATCTGTCTCATAGGATAGCTACAGAGGTGACCCAGAATTCCCCCCCAGACTAGCATTCCTCACTGTCTTAAGACCCCCATCCTGACCTCTGAGTTGCCCACTGAGCAGGGGGCTATGTCACTGACCAATGGGATTTCCTGCAAACACTTCATCTGTTTCCAGGGGGTCGCTCACTCCTTCTGAATTAACTGCCAGGATACGAAACTGGTAGGCTTTCCCCTCTTCTACTTTGTTGGTGGAGAAGTTCGTGACCTTGCTGTCCACCTCGCCTATCTTAATCCAGGACTTCTTGCCGACCATCCTCCGTTCCACTATGAACTGTGTCACAGGCCGCCCGCCGTTGTCCTTCGGGGCCTTCCACTTCATGTGCACGCAGTTCCCCGAGAGTTCCAGGAACTCCACCCGGCCCTGGGGAGGCTTGGGACGGTCTGAAGACAGAAAATAGCATCAGAATGGGAGCGAAGGATCCAAAAGGCTTTATCCCACCTGCCAGAGGTCCAGCCAGACTGGGGATAGTTAGATTTGGAGCTTTCTAGGTATCTTGCCCTTCTCTGTGTTCACTGCCCCTCCTTGTAACACTTGCCCAAAGAGTTGGATCCTTGGCCCCCTGAGACTCTCCCTTGCCTAGCAGTGGGGGGACTGGGGACTGGAGGGGCCTCTGCCTCAGCTTATTCCCCACCTTGTCTTCTTCCAGACAAGATCTCCCCCTCCTCTCAGCTTCCAGAACTCCAGTGCTTTCTGGTATTAATAGTTTATCTTAGGTTATAATTACATGCCTGCTAGTTTTCATCCCTTTTGGGTTGAGAAACTGCTGGGACACTTCCATCGCTGTGTCCTCAGCAGTGAGAACACAGAAGAGCTCAGTCATGCTGCTGAATTGAGTTGAAACCCAAACTTTCTCACTCCACAGCTTGATGGCATGGGGTGTGTGTGTGTGTGTGTGTGTGTGTGTGTGTGACAGATTCACTCTGAGCTCACTAAGGCCAGCTCCTCATCTCTTTCCTTAGCCTTATGTTTAGACCCAGTCCAAATCCCTTTCATTTTTCCAACCTCATTTTATTCTCAATCCTATCTCAGCTCCCCTCACTCCATTTCACTTCTACCCCCAGAACTTCCCCACCAACCTCACTTCTATCCCTAAATCCAACCTCTATGAGCTGTCCTGCATTCTCCTATGTGCCTTAAACTCAACTGAAATAGATACAAAAA